GGACCGCTGGCTGAGTCTTCTTTGGTCCTGGAACCAGGCAGGAGGTCTATAGTCACTGAGGACCGCTGGCTGAGTCTTCTTTGGTCCTGGAAAATGGCAGGAGGTCTTCCATGTCCCTGGAACTGTCTCCAGGGTCAGACTAAGAGGTGCTGTAGAATCCCAGAGAGCTGCTCTGCTCAGGCCTTCAGGACTCTGACTCCATCAGGACCTGCTGACTGATCACCATCCAGTCTCTCCAGTTGCCTCTTTACTGACTTCTAGAGACAGACAGATGGAAGGTGGAGGGAGCAGCACCACCTGCTGGTCTGGCTGATAATAGAAGCAGGAGAGTGAATGTCAGAGGAGGGCAGGATGTCCATGTGACTGTGGGCAGGAGAGGAAGATGCTGAGCTTGTTGAATGGATTCAGTTCTTTGGTTCTGTCCAGACCTCCATCTGTCTGATTATCCTTCTGCTTCAAGCCTGGGCATAAAGGTGTTGAAGGAATTCAATTTCAGGTAAAAGTTCATAGTTTTCCGTCCAAGCAGAACTCCGGTTAGCCAGCTCATTTAAAACATGTTCAATTTGATGATTCTTCTCCTTAAAAGAATCACAATCGAGAATCGATGGGAACAGGAATCAGAACAAGGAATCAGAGCCTGAAATGATCCAACCCCAGGTCTTACTTTAGAGATGTATGAATCCTCCACCTCTGCCTTAAACAAGTCTGCAACTATGGGAATGATGGCGTTGCAGCAGAGAGGGAGGCGTGATGAAAATCACCAGCTGTTGCTACAAATGCATTATGCATTAGGTCTGTAGCTTAGCAACAATGGAAATTATTACCATGATAAATTATTATCACATGCAGTGTGGGCAACAGCAGAAGGTGGAATATAAAGAGTTAACAACAGAACACTGCTGAACTCTCTGGGCAAATAATATGGCTGAAAACCAGCTGCCAACAGTTCAACATCTGGGCTGCAGGGACGATTCTCCACGGCAACACGTCCTGAAAGACACCATCTGTTGATCAATAACACTGAAAACCACCTCCTTTAAATGTGGTCAGAAATCCTGGCAGAGAGACGCTTGAGTCTGAGATATGATCCTGCAGCCATGTTTCAGTGAAACACATCATGCTGCATTGCTGATGTTCTGGTTGGGTCATTGCTTGGCTGCAAGTTCTTCTAAATGTTTCCTAAAGATCTCACATTGGCCATGATGACTGATGGAAGAGATGTTCCTCTCTTGTCCTGCTCCACATCCCCGCCGTCTCCTTTTAAACACAGCCGGTACTTTCAGCTGTATTAGTTCAGCTTTAGTCATGTTAGTTGGCTTTTCCTGGGTTTTATTATACCAAGTATCCAAAAAGCAAATTTATTAGTAAAAATCCTCCAGTTTAATTCTTCCAGCGGAGGAATTAAAGTTCTCTTAAAAAAGAATATGGGAGTCAAGCCAGAGGAGCTACGCTAACGTTTAGCCACCCTAAGCTGTGCAAGTCTAGAATAAAGATGCTGGAGAGGTCCCAGTGCTAGGAACTGGGCCTCACCTGCATCCTGCAGAGGTCAGGTCTAGTGTTGCGCCGATGCCATTTTTTGGGACCGATACCGATACCCGATACCTGGCTGTGCAGTATCGGCCGATACCGATACCATAATAATGTAAAATAATTGCAATCATGGCTTTGTCAAGCTGCTGCCTACCTTTGTGAAGCAGGAAAAAGTCTAATACAAAGTGAATCCAGTAGAACTTTTTAATAAAAAGTTCTACTGGATAATAAAAATAAAAAGTTTTTATTGCCTACCAGGAGTGGGTGACAATAGTTGAATAAACTTATGGCTCTTAAAATGGTACCGGGGCCCCGTCCGATACTGGTATCGGTATCGGTGCAACACTAGTCAGGAGTATCATTGACCTCCTCTGAGCTCCATCCTGGTTTCTTTACCATGTTGGAAAAATAAAAACACCTGCTGCTAAGGAAAGACCTAAATCCAGCGGAAAAAAATAAGAACCGTGTTCTTAGTTTTACACGAGGTTTCTTAGCCTGGCCTTTGGGTCTGAGAAGGATCGACCATAACATTAAAGATGAGAAGAGTTTGAGCAGGAAGTTCCTCCTACTGCTGCTGGGCTGCAGAGGTGCAGTAAATAAGTGTTTGATTGTGAAGGTGAGTGTGTGTGGTGAAGGTTAGAGACCCGGGATGGTTACCCAGAGCAGGGCCTTACCTCCAGCTCTCTGTTTACTCTGAGAATCCCAGCTGACAGACATGGAAAAAGCAGCTTCTGATTTAGGGAAATGTTTAGAACATACACTGATTAATAGAGACTATAGAGAATTCATCTTATGTATGGAAGTTTTTCTAATGATGTTCTAAAAAACTCTAAAATGTGAAATTCTTTGCAGCTCTTTTATTTCCCCACATAAATGGCATAGAGTCCAATCAAACCTGAGTAATTGTTAAGAAAGGTGAGAACCAGCGGCGGCGGGGGCGGCAGGGTTCCCCAGATGCAATGCAAACAGCTCAAAGCTTTAAAAATAGTTTGGAATGACAGGAAAGACAGAATGTGCTCGCTGGCTGACGGAGTTTCCACTGAGCAAACATTGATCTGTTTGTGCACCTATTTTGCTCCTCTCCTCCACAAAGACTCCTCTAACATCCTGAGAGAGCCTCCTCACATGCCTTCACACTGACTGCACTAACACTGAGAGCACTAGAGAGTAAAGAAGGGAGGACAAAAGGGGGAGGTCACCGCCTCCTCCTTCACTTGACCTCTCTGTCCTCGCCCTCAGCCGCTACCCACAGCCCCATTCCTCCGGTTCGTACCCATTAAGAGATGACAAATGACTGTCGTTCGTCTTTGAAGTCCTCAAACCCACATTCACAGCTCCTTGCATGTTCCTATTGTTCATGCAGAACCTAAGTGAGTATAAATGGGGAGACGCTGCTCACACCCCCATCACAGCTTTCTGATTACTGATGAAACCTAGAAAGAAGATCTAAGATGATGGAGCGCTGCTCCCAGAGACAGCAGACATATTGCGGCTGGAAGAACAATGAAGCAGCCTGAAACCTTCAGAGAAAAAGTTAAGATCAAAGATATTGGAGCTTCTTTTATTGCAATATTCATTTTATATTGTTTTTTTTTTATTTTGCACTAATCACAAGCAGAGAAGTGTTTAATTCCAGGGTTTTAGTAAATGTCCAGAGGTTTTTCTGATGCGTAGAAAGTTTTCTTCTGGATAGCGTGCATGGATAAACGGATATGATTGTTGCTCCAGCAGCAACAATCTTCCACCTTTAAGAGGATTATTGCCCCCGAAGGACTGAGGAGGTATAACATGTTTGATTTTTAATTCTGCTGTAATAGAAAATCCTCGTCCAGCCAGAAAACAGCTGATTTCTATAACCTCCTGGACAATAATCGTAAGAACAGAAAGATGGCGGCCTTACCGTCGGAGCGGTGGATGCAGGTGTGCTGGTTGTCGCTGAGGAAGAAGCCGTCTGTGCACTGACACTCGTAGCTTCCCATGGTGTTCACACACACCTGTTGGCATCCTCCATTGTTGTCCAGACACTCGTCCACATCTGGGCAGAGACAGAAACAGGGGCCCAGTTTCCCGCTTTAGCTTTATGAATAATGACATATGAGTGAGAATTGATGTTCAGTTAGAGGAATGACACTAGAGTCAGGAATGTTGCAGGAACAGTCATACGGTCAGGTGGGTTTCTGTGGCTGAATTAAAAGCTTAGCGCTAAGTGCTAACAGGCGACAGTCCAACCTGTGGGGAAAAGGAATGTTTATATTGTGCCATATTGCTGAAAGCTTATAAAATTTAAAGGGATATCTTGTTTGGCATGAAGTGAACAGTTCCAGTAAACAGATGAGATCAGATCTCTGTAGGAAAC